TTTATTGATGGATCTGTATTTAAGACAGATTTAATATTTAATATTTGAGACAACACTTGCACCACTGTCTTTTGACAGATAGAAAAATAAATGTGTAGAATTAAGGAACTTGTCCAAAACAAGCAGTAAGAGGGGAGTGCACCAGGATTCAGTGATAGGCAGCATAAATTCAGAGCCCAAGCTTTTAACCATTGCCCTCTATTGCTGCTTATTGAATTGTACTGCTGCCAGATGCAAATTACGGTAAATTATGGAACTGCAATACATCTGGATGAATTGTGATGATTTGCATTAGTGCATAGAGAAGCCCTAGACCTTTCTTATGAGCCCCTCCACTGGTGATCAAGGACATTGAAGTGGAACTTCATTCACCTGCCTCCATTTACATTGCATTTAAACATTCTGAAGTAGCATGCCAAGAAAAGCAATCTCATGATTTACTTTATGGGGCTGTTCTTGTATTTAACAACCCTTCCTGTTGTCAGATTACAAGCTGTAGAAAGTCAGGGGCCATTTCTTTTATTGTCTCATTCTTCAAGCCCATAGAGCTAAGATAGTGGCATAAATTCAATTGTAACTTGAATGACACTATGAGAGCTCACTTCCTACTGCTTTCACTTTGAGACTTTCTCTAGGAGGCAGCATAGTACAAAAGAAAAGGGATGATTTGGGTTGAGAAGAATAGAGGTTCAAATCTCAGCACTTTCTCTTCCTAAACTGTACTATGGGTTGAGGAGTAAATAGAATAAAGGAAAATATGTATTAACTGTCAATTCTGTTTTCTTTTTTTTCAAGGTCATTATCTGCACATCATTCTAACTAGAATACTTTCTAATACTTTCTTTTTTTTTTTTTTTTTTTTCTGTCTGTTGTGGGGCTTGAACTCTGGGCCTGGGCACTGTCCCTCAGCTCTTCAGCTCATGGCGAGCACTCTACCACTTGAGCTACAGCGCCACTTCCGGTTTTCTGGTGGTTTATTGGAGATAGGAGTCTCATGGTCTCTCCTGCCCAGGCTGGCTTTGAACCACGATCCTCAGATCTCAGCCTCCTGAGTAGCTAGAATTACAGGCGTGAGCCACCAGCACCCGGCTCTTTCTAATACTTTCTAACTATATACTTATATTGCCCTTGCTTGCTAAGAGTAGTTATAACTCAGGTTAACTTCACTTTATCTAAACCTAAACTTAGAACTGTTCACTTAAAGGCTTATGGGGTTTTATCCATGGTGCAAGTTATTCTGAAATTCAGGAAAGTATCTGGAAAGCAATGCTCATTTGCAAATGAATGTCAGCCATCTTCTGGCTTCAAGACAGTTTATTAATACTGGCCACAGGCATACTGAATTCCCTCACAAAGAGCCAACTCTTTCAATGGCTATCTGGAAATAAATCGAAAAGCAGACAGACACGGAACCAAACTCAAAGAAAACAAATACAAGCAGCCAGAGTTAAAATCTTGAGAAACTAAGTGAAACAAGACCCTCACTCCTTTCAGAGAACAATCTCATGTTTTTTCTTTCTTATTTTATTTTCTTTTTAATTTTTCACTCCATAATTCATCTGTTTTGATTTCTATTGAAATGGAGATATAATTGGTTTATGATTGCACCATGCAAGAGTTTAATGTGAAAGATTAGGTGTCAAACGTGAGAAAAATGAGCTTTAGTTACTTCTTCCTTTTCCAATAAAACATCTAGTTCCAGACATCTTGGTTTCTTCCTAGAGACTTTTTTTTTCTAGACTCCAACAGCTATGAACCTCTAGCCTACAGTAGGGACATTGAAACTTTTGAGGAATTTTAACCAATGGTGGAAATGGTTATTAATCGTATGTCTGTTCTTTTGACAGCAGCTGGAATTGCATGTTGATGACTTTAATGTGCATCCAGGAACTACATGACAAGTCTCTGAACTGTAGCTTGTCTTTGAAAAAAAAAAATAGAAAAAGAAACCCATTACCCATCAGGTCTGCTATTTGAGATTACAAAACAAATACAATATAGACTTACTCTCAGGGCTACCCAGGAAATCAGTCAACAGGAATTCAAAGATTCACTTGCTAGATGAAGAATGAAACACTTTCGATTTTTCCTTTTAACTTTTCTTTGAAGACCAGTAGAAAATTATGGGTATATTGTGTCCAAATAGTTCCTGGTAAAGAAGCATCATGTGGCTTTTGTAATTCTCACTTTTTTTCTTTTTCTTTCTCTTTTTCCTTGTGGTGTGTGTGTATGTATGCATGTATATGTGTGTGCATGTGTGTGTACATGTACATGTGTGTATATATTTGTGTGATGGTCCTGGAGCTTGAAATTGGGTCCTGGGTACTGTGCCAGAGCTTCTTTGCTCAAGAGTACCATTCTATGCTCTACCACTTGAGCCACACCTCAACTCCTACATTTTCTTTTTGTAATTAGTTAAAAATAAGGATCTCACAGGCTTTCCTGCCTGGGCTGGCTTTGAAGTACTATCCTTACATCTTAGCCTCCTGAGTAACTAGGATTACAGGTGCAAGCCATTCTTGATTCTCATTTTTCCCAAATACTTGGTCAACGTTGCTATTCCAATTAACATTGGCTCATAGCTAATCTCAGTTAGAGAGGAACTAACATAACAGACATCCTCCTCTTGCTTACTACAGGAACTATATACAAGTACAGTCTGAGGGGCTCAGCGTAGGCATGATGGATGAGAAGGAAGAATGGATGGAGTCTCTTATCACTTAATACTGTGTGCTATAAAATACCTTACATGAGATTTGCCCCTAAATCATCCAATTTTAGCACTGAAAGGAAACTAAGTGGCCATTTAGGCTGTCTCATTTGCTTTATCTATTTTTAAGTATTTTTAATCGATTTTTCTCTTGCAACAAAAGCAATACATGTTTATAGATGTTAATTTGAAAAGTAGAGATAAGCAAAAATAAGACAGAAAAAGTACCTCACTCCCTAGACAGAATGTCTCTGAAGCATTTGAAATATTTTCCTTGTTAGGTTTTCAAATTTTTGTATGCATATTTTATATGTGTATATTACATTATATATGTATATATTTTCATGATATTGCATTATTCTGTAGTAATGTAACCGTTTTACTTTGTGTGTGTGTGTGTGTGTGTACCAGAATTTGAACCTGGAGCCTCACACTCACTTACCTTTGTTGCTGATAGCTGACATGCTTCTATTTGAGCCAAGCCTCTAGCATAGCATTTTGCTGGCTAATTGGAGATGGAATCTTTCAGACAGTTCTGCCAAGGCTGGCTTCAAATTATGATCCTCTATATCTCAGCCTAATGAATATCTAGAATTACAGGTATGAGCAACCAGCACCTGGCTCTGTAACCTGTGGTTTGTTTTAACTTAACTGATATTATGGACATCTTTTCACTTTGTATTTTTGCATACATTATTTGTAGTGACTGTAATATATCCCACTGTAAAAGAGCTGCAATTGGTAATAGACATTTTTGTAATGCTAAACATTTAGTTACTTCAAAATCCTTACCAAATCTAAACAGTACTATAATGTTAGTCCTTAACACTTATTTTTTGCATACATCTCCTTGTTAAATTGCTTTTAAAGAATCCCAACAATGGTTCTAATAACCTTCCTTCATATAACTGACAACTAAGGCATACAGATGGGGATTCTGTTGATCAAATCCATGTAGCAAATACTTGTGAGAGCTGAGACTAGAGTTTAAAATCCTGGTTATTATCTAGTTAACATCTAGATGAGATCCTTTCATTCTTCTTTATTTTCTAGTTCTCTTTTTAACAAATGTCAACTGTATTCTACAATCCAATGGGGCTAACTTAGCTTTTTGGAAATCAGAGAGTTTAAGGGATTACAGATGTGTGGTACCTCATCCACTGTCATTTCCGGTGTCCGTGGTCTTCATTGCTAATCACACATAGAACTCCTCCCCGTTCCCGGGCTAGATCCTTGTCCATCTCAACAGCACCATGAAACTGCCAGCAGCATAGGAGAGCGGCCATGAGACATGAAACTTCTTTTATCCTTAGGCCAAGTCTTTTCTTTTTTATACGAAGAAGTAAAATTCAGTTCCAAGAAAGATCTTGCTTAAGGAGTTGGGAGAATAGCAGTAACAAGGTTGAAGTTGTTACTTTATACAAAAAGCCTAATTCCCTTGTCATTTGCATTTTTATTATACAGTAACTTATTTTAACCTTGCTATAATTATATAAAGGTTGGTAGTAGTATTTCTACTTTGCAGGTGAAAAAATTCTGGCATAAATTTGAATTTGTCAGGGCATGGATGCTGTCCCTCAGGATTTTCGGTTTGTTTGGTTTTTGTTTTTTTTTTTGTTTGTTTATATGTTTGTTTGTTTGTTCCCTCAAGGCTAGAGCTCTACCACTTGGGCCACAGGTCCACTTCTGGATTTGGGATGCTTAATTGGAGAAGAGTCTCACAGACTTTGCTGCTCAGGCTGGCTATCATTTTTAGATCTTGGGATTTGTTTTAAAACTTTTATTTATTTATTTTTATGGTGAAGGTGATGTACAGAGGGTTACAGTTATATAAGTCAGGTAATGAGAACATTTCTTTTTAAGCAGTGTTACCTCTTCCCTCGTTTTCTCCCATTTTTTCTCCTCCATACCCCCTCCCCCACAATTTGTGTAGCTCATTTTCAGCGTAGTGTCTAGTGAGTATCACTGCTGAATTGGTTCACCCTTTGTCCCACTATTTCTGTGCTCCCCTTTACCTTCCTATAAAACAGATAAAGTTACATATAAGAAAAAAGGTACAGAAAACAAAAACAGGCACAGAGGGGGTGGGAAGCAAAATAACAAAAACCTCGTGTTTCCATTTCTTGGAGTTCATTTTGATAAACAGCATTTTATATGATCATATGCACATAGCCTATCTCCCGATTCTCCTGATAATGGTATGCAGTCATTCAATGTGTTTGGACAGGGAATTAATGTCAGATCACCAAGGCCTGGGCTGGGGAGCTCACTTTTCTTTGTCTCCCTCCAGGAGAATTCCTGAGTTTTGCTGATGACTTACTCTCTGGCCTGGGTACATCTTGCGTTGCTGCTGGTCGAAGCCATGGAGAGGTCCCTGAAGTCAATATCTACTCGGTCATCTTCAAGTGCCTGGAGCCTGATGGTCTCTACAAGTAAGATATGATGGGTATGTGGGGATTACAGAGCAGGAAAGATGATTTGAATCCTAGGAGGGCAGGCAGGATTACTTCTATTTAGGCCAGTGAAAATGTTTTGTCAGCCAGCATGTATGTGCACCTTGAAATGCAAAGGTTTAGATGCATGCGTTGGAGATGTGGTGGTGAGTCATAAAATCCCATATGCTCAGTTCAGAAAGGGCCTAGGAAAGCCAGATATTTAAAACCAACCCTTCCACTGATGAAGAATCTGCAGCCCAGAGAGGAAGTGTCTTACCCAGAACCAGTGAGTAACATAGCAGTGGCTGGAATGGGAATCTCTACCCACTGTACTTTTCTGTCTTCCATGCAGATTATATGAATATATCTGGTATATATATATCACATATATATGGTATATATATACAATATATATGGTATATATACATATATATTGTATATATATTATACACACATACATACATACATACACACACAGGTCCTTTTTGAGTATATTGAGTATAATGGAGTCATTGCATTTAAACTTCTGAAAATGCAAGAGGAAGTCACTGTGAAATTCTCTTAGAAGTCTCACAAAAGGGACTCAAATTACGTGGTTGTATGGGTGGAGTCATCACAAGCTATAACATAGACATCTAAAGAGTAATTATGAAAGTATGACTACCTTAGTAACTTAGAAGCTGCACTTTGGAGGTTTATTAGTTATTCACCATTCAACTATTTCATTCGGTGATTCATTCACTCATCTATCTATCCTCCATTAGTCTCTCCATCCATCCATCCATGCATCCACCCATTCAGCCAATCATCCATGATATTTGATGAGATGGTGTACAAGCTGTCTGCTTGGGGATGAACTTCTAATAAAGTTATTCAAGGATAAGTATTAGCCAGTATCCTTGTTCCTTTTGTTGCCCTTATAGTAGTAATTATTCCTTCACCTTCCACCCTACCCATCCTCCAAGTGATCAGAAAGAAAGCAACTAACAGCATCTAAGCTTCTTTGGTGGGTTTTGTCTGTTGAGTCAGAAAGAGGTACTCCATCTTTGAATAGAACTCAAAGGGACTTGGTGTTATCCAGGCTAAGGCCTACAGCTCCATTACATAGAGAACCATGAAATACAGTCCCCAGCCAATGAATGTGGAGGGGCTGACAAATCAGCTATAATTCTTCAGCAGTGACAAAACACTTTTCCTGGCCCCTCCTCTCACTCACTACCTGGCACCAATTCTCCTTCCCATTTCTTGAAGGGGTAAAATCTTCCCCGATCCATAACTCATCTTCTCTATCTCAGAGCCCTTCTTCGTCATCTCTACTTATTTATTTATTTTTGAAATTGATCTGGACTGTTCTGACAAGGAGCCAGAGTACTGTTTGGAACAGTCTCTCATCCCACTGGCGGCTCTCCTCCCGTGAAGTCTGACCTACTCAGTCTCTAATTTTAAAATAGCCCCGGTGTCTGTTCTTGGGCTTTCTCAGTTTCTGCTTGCTTGTTCCTTACCAAAAGTTGCTTTCTTCCCCTTGAGCCAAAAAGGTCTCATATGTGGCAGTGCAGAAGAACAGAAGGCTTTGGTGACAGGTTGGGCTGGGTGTGAGTTCCTGATTCAATCAACCGACCCCCAAGCAACTCAATTCTCTCCATTCTCTGTGACAGTTTTCTCCTCTAGAAACAGAGGCCGATGATCTTAGAGGGTTAGAGAGAAGAGTATTAAATTCAGAAGCTTCAAGAACAGAGCTTCGCAGAAGGCCTGGACATAGGAGGCCAGTGGGGCGTGTTAGTCATTTTCTTCCCATTGCCATGTCTTTGCTCAGTGCTTGGTTATTGGTGTCCCTCTCAGGGACATCCCGGAGGAGGTGATTCTATGTAGCAAGTTGGCATTCCACTAACTATGAAAGAAATGGCCCTCTATAATCCTTCAGGGGAGAAAGAAAAAAAAAAAGGAAAGGATGGATCGAGAGGTGAAGAGGGTCAAAAAACGGTGAGTTTACATCAAAAACAAATTCAGACACCAAATTCCACCTGTTTACAGAAAGACTCAGCTGATTGGAGAACCAGCTTCTCCATGATGAAGGCTGTATTTACTTCTTGCTACTATCATTTCTGTCTCGGGGACCTTGGGTTCACTGTTCATATCCTCTCTGTTCTGAAACTTCAACATCTGTAACATGAAGACCTTTTAGATCCTGCACAGCTTCTGCTGTAAGATGCATTCTCTAATTCTTTCTCCCTTATTTTCCTACAAAGGGCCAGCCCTTCCAACTTAGTTATTTCTCTCACTTTTGTTTTTCTCTGACCTTTTCTCTCTGCTTGCAACCCTTTCTGGGCATTTGCTATATGGATTCCTGTCTTTGTTTTGTAGTCTCCCTATTACTCCTTTGCTTTTCTATTTATTTTCCCTGTTCTATTTTTAGTTGAACTTCTCTCTATCACTCCACATCTTTTTCTGTGTCTTTCTGTTTCTGTGTCTTTCTCTCTCTCTGTACTTCTCTGTTTCCCCAATGTCTCTCTCCCCTACCCCCATTTCCATTCTCTCTCTTCATTCTACCGAGGAGGGAAAATTGTTCTTGCAGCCTTTCTAGCCATGTAATTTCACACAGTGCCTCAGGAGTCAAGGCTGATTTTCTGTCCTAAGTTCACCCTGGTGTAACAAAACAGAAACATTAGCACCCGTGCTCTATTTAAATTGAATTTCCTTGTTTGTTTCATTTGTTTTGCTTTGAATGAAAACAAACAAGAGCAGCAGAGGGAGAGGGTCTCCAGAAGGTCTAACAGAGAGGCCAGCTTCGGTTCCCTTGGGATGCTGGAGTCCGAGGGTGATCCCAAGTGAAAATCTCTACTCTGGACCAATGTCTGAGGCCAGGCTGGGCATCTGGGGTCCCTGTTTCTGCCTGGCTAAAGGCCTAGCCATCTTTCTTGTAAGTTGTTCTCCAATTTCCTATTGCCCAAGGTAATTAGCCTCTGTCTTGTCTTGGCTGCCTTGCCTTTCGCTACTCATGGATGGCTGCCAAAGGGTCACCAGTGAGCATGCCAACAGCAGCCAGACCTGATTCCTGGGGTGGGGGACTCATTCCCACACACCCAGAGGCTTGCCTCAGGCCCACCCTCACCTCTCTGTCTCCAGTGTTATGAAAGGAATGTCAAAGGAGCCAGAGTATTGCCTCCCGGTGCCAGCTTCCATGGTGGGAACAGAGTTTCAGAGGAAAGAGTCCTTCATAGGAGGCTGGTAGAGTAGAAGAAGAAAAATCAAAAAAACAAAAAGGAAAACAAGAAAAAAAAATCCAAGACTACGGAGAGGGGAGGGCATCTCCTACACACAAAACCCCAAGACCCTAAGGTCAAAAGTCAGATGTCAGTTCTCTTGGCTCTCTGTATTATTTCAGGCCAGTTCCTCCTCCTTCTCTGGCTTGCATGTTCTCTCTGTGTAGGGAAAGGCTGGACTCAGTAGGTTTTAAGATTCATACATGACGGTAGGTAAAGAAAGTCCAAACTAAGCTACTGATTCTCAGGGCTGCCATCACTGTCTGGATGGTACTAGTAGTCCTGTTTTATTGAGGATTTATTTGTGGCAGGAGCTAGTTTACTGTACAATATCATATCTGTAAACTTATCTCCAGATTTCTATATCTTTGTCTTTTTTGATTGTTCCTTCCTTCTTCTTCTTCCTGTCCTGTCTTCCTTCCTTCCTTCCTTCCTTCCTTCCTTCCTTCCTTCCTTCCTTCTCTCTTAGATATGTAGAAATTGTGGGAATGAGATTATGGAAGCTGTAATCCTCTATACTAGATCTCTGCCCAGGTAGGCTGAAAAATACATGGGAAACACATTTTCACTCCTTCTACCCAAAGCTACATGCCTGTTACTAAATTCCAAAGTTTTGTCCTTACTCTCCAGTTCCCACAGTGCCATGCCAAAAGTTAAGTCCCCTAGCCTGCTTGAGGACACCTGCTCTTCCCTAGAGACATACACTCAGTGACATGGTTAAGATGCTTTTGATGTTAGAGCTCCTTTGCTGAGTGGTTTCTCAATCTCCAGGCTCCCGTGTTTCTGTGAAAAGTTGAGGCTACTGGCTCAAAGATAATATTTCAAAAGCCTAGGGAACATGGAACCTTGGATGGAGTGCCAACAGACTCCCCGCTACCCTCTAGACACCACCTCTCCATAGGTACTGCCTGGGAAGAACATTGCAGAAATAGTTAATGTCCCTATCATGGATGTTATTATTATATATTAGATAAAATCCTATTATTGTTCATTTTTCCTGCTTTATCCCGTTCCTCTGTTGATGTCATGAATCATCACAGAACTTGCTGGTAGCATCATCAGGAATGTTATCAGGATCCCTCCAGAACTGGCTTTCAAAACACTTGCTCAGACAATGGAAGGTTGGCCAGGGATTGAGAATCATCCTGCCCCTTGCCCTAAATGTCTATGGGGTCTTGGGAATATGATTTTCCCCTTTGGAGGTCTCAGGTTCTCCATTTCTAGAAGAGGGTTTGCAAACAAATGTCCCATACTTCAGAGCTACACATCTCAAGAGATGGAAGAGATGAGGAGATAAACCCAAGTCCCTGGCAGTGGGGGGAGACACACAAGGGTCTGTATCCAGATGAGTTTCATTCAGATCACAGCTAGATGCTCCAATGAGCCCATCTGTTTAGTGGCGTCCTGAGCCATAGGAAGAGGAGACGCTTTCTGTGCTAAACGGGGCTCAGTTTTCAGACTCAGAACCCATATGAGGTGCAGCTGCCACCAGTTAGTCTAGGCCACACCAAGAAAAGAGTTCAAGAGAGACCTAACAGCGGTGCTATCCTGCTGTTTCCAAATGTGAAATCTTACTACTTTTTTCTTTTCAATCCTTCTGTTCTCACTCATTCCCCGTTCTTTTCCTCCCTTCCTTCTTCCGACCTTACCTTTCTCCGATACTCACCTCTCTCTTGCTTTCCTTCCCTCCTTCTTCCTTCCCTTCTTTTCTCCCTCTATCCCCACTTCCTTTTGGCC